AGGACTGAAATCTGGGTCCGCCGCTTTCTGGCACCTGACACCTCTGGTCCCCATCCGCATTTGTGGTCAAGCCCCAGGCTTCCTTGCAGTGCTTGGAGATGCAGGGAAAGAGTAAGTGTGTCCTCTCTGAAATGTACTGGAAGTGAGTGGGCAGCCTCAGCAGCGGCCTGTGCTACCTAATTGGAGCTCTCTGTGCTTACATTTGTATGAGCAGGAGGCGAAATAAGACAGAGCCAAATTGGGCTGCAGTGAGTCAGGTCGTGGTCCTGGGGAGTCTGGGCCCTTCCTGTCTCTGACTGGCCTTACTCCTTTGCCCCACCCCCTGCACCTGCCCCTCCAGACATCACCCTCTGGGGTGCCCTTCCCTTCTGTACCCAGCATCAGTCTAAACACCTTCACACAGCCTCCTGTCCAGAGCTTCCCCTGAGACCCCACCTCATTCCAATTTGACCTTCAACTTTTCCTGCCTGTACCTTCACATAGGTTCACAGGCTCTTAACCAGAGAGACCCCTACACCACACACACACACACACACACACACACACACACACACACACACACCTGACCAATTCTACCTACCTTCCTGCTCCTTTCTGGATCACCATCACACAGGCTTCCAGGCTCCCATCCAGAGACACCCCCACCTGACCTTCAATTCTCCCTGCCTTACCGTTTTCTCCCTGGGCTGAAGGAGGCACGCTCAGCAGCTGTAAGGCAGAAAACTCACTGTTGTTCCCCCTTTCCTCCTTACCCACTGCCTGACTCTGTTCTTGCTGCACCCTCTGGGCCCTGTGCCCTGACCTCTCCAAGGTGGAGGCATCGGGTCCCTTCTCTTGCAGAGGACACTAGAGGACACTAGATGCTCCTGGGAGCATCTCCCTGAGCCTGATGTACCCTAGCTGAGCCTGCCTTGAGGAACTGTGGAGCCTTGAAAATGAACAGAAGGGCAAGTCCCCTATAACAGCCAAAACACTGACCTTGACAACCATCAAGGTTGCTCCCACACCACTCAGGGCACCTGTGAGCAATGGAGCCAAAGCCCACTCAGACCCCCTCCTCATCCTTCCCTATGATCACCCTGAGTGCATAGGGAGGGAGGAACCATGTAGGGACAGAGCCCCCTGCCTTGCTCCATGCTAGGGTCAGTATCACTGTGCTCTGGGAACTGCAGTGTGTCGAGTAAGCTCCATGGGGCACTTGAGGAAGCCCTCAGATGCCTCCTCAACCCCTACGAATGTAGAGTCTATTCAGTTCTGCTCCTTGGGTGTTTGAGCCTCAAGGCAGTTGCATAAGTGGAACTCCAAAGGATGCCCAGCTAGCTCCCTGCCCCAACCACATTGTCCTGTAGGGACATGCTGCCGAGGGTCAAAATCCATGCAACACAAGCTGACGGATGTGCAACCACTTGTCAGTGACTGGACTGCGAATTTATGACTGCCACCAGGATGTGACAAACCTGTCCTCAGCAAAGATGGCTACTGTGCCTGGCTCTGCCATGACTACCACCTCCTCCTGATCCAGTGTCTATGGCCTTGACTCTTTTCTCTCAGCAGAGTCAGGTGAATCCTAGTTCAAAGTGCAGCTCTTTTGTTCATGATTCCTGTAGCTTTGGGTCCCTAAGACCCTCTTTTTTACATTTGTTTATTTATTTCTTGTATGTGTGTCTATGTGTATGTGACTGTCATGGTGTGTGACTGTGATGGCATGTGTGTAGTCAGAGGATAACTTGAAGGAGTCAATTCTCTCTTTCTACCATGCGGGTCCCAGGGATCCAACTCGGGCCATCAGGCTTGGTGGCAAGCCCCTTTACCCACTGAACCCGCCATCTTGCTGGCCCAGCCCTCTGTTTTTTGGTCTTCCTGTAGCCCCAGCTGGCCTGGAACTCACTATGTAGACCAGGCTGGCCTTGAACTCACAGAGATCCACTGCCTCTGCTGGGATTAAAGGCGTGCGCCACCATGCTCTGCTGAACCTCTGGTTTTTGGTCTTCAGAGTGTAGTTACAATTATTACCTCATGATATTTGATTGACATAGCCTGTGTAGTACTCAACTGGAGTAGATTTTCTATGCATGTTGTTTCCTTTCTGTGGATATCGCCTCACTTCCAAGTTACAGATGTCTTTAACTCCCACGTCACCAACCTTCCCCACCTGCCCAGACAGACTTAATATTCCTCACCTACCTCCCCAGCTTCCCCCTAACCTTTCTACCCTAGGCTCCTCTGTTCATATCAGTCTTTCCTACCACACTGGGGATGCTGACAGGTCGGACAGGGCCTGCAAACTACCTGGTGTCCCGTCTGTGTTTGTAGGGGGACAGAACAAGTGGTAGAAGAGAGCGGACTCAGAATACCTAGGAGCTGATCTGCAGCATTGGACTTTAAATGGGAACCACTTCTCACTGGCAGCCAACTGGATGGGGGCAGAGGGCTGGACCCCGACACCTGCCCCCCAAAGGAGGCCTTGTGGGAGCACAGGTCCAGAGGAGAGGGTGGGAGCCGGGCAGCTGCACGGTCTAGGCTGAGGGATGCTGACACTCCTGCAAAGGAGAGACGTTAGAGGCGATGGGAGTCAACATCTGGCCGGACGCCCTGGTTGCTGCATGTTCCTCTTCCTCTTGGACCTCGGCCCATCTGCAGATCAGGTGTCATTGCTCATGTGACATGGTAGGAACTGTGTCCTCTCTTCTTATAGAGACAGCATTTTCATCAGGACCCGAGGCTCCCGCTCTTATGCCTCCACGTGCTATGGCCGGCCGGAGCCTGGGCCCTGTGTTTTCATGATCTTAAGTCTCTGATCTTAAAACAGCAAATCCCACAAGTCTGTAGAACAATAGATGTCTATTTTTATAGATTTCCCCAGCATTGTAAAGATCTGCTTAATTGTGCTAGCAGATTCCCTCATTTTCTAGGATGCCTCAAATGGAGGGGAATTTTTCAGGATAATTGGATGGATGTCTTCCTGCCAGGACAAACAGGACAGTGGCTTCATCATGCTGATAGCACATCTACCTTCCCTTAGTCCCAGCATGGCCTCCTAACTCAGGAGGAGAAGCAGGGCTCTGGGGAAGGAGGAATGACCACTCTTTCGGTTTCTTTGGTGAGGTTCCAACTTCCACCACTCAATTGGAAACCCTGGATAAGCCAGCCCAGCTCTGTTTACCCTGGCAGACTCACGGGGGCAGGTCGAGAGCCCGACAGGAGGATCAGATGCTGGGAACGGCTGCAGAACCAAGTCTAGGGTCTTAGGGGTTGGTCACGGGGAGGGGGTACAGGTAGAAGGGAGTTCAGATAAAGGAGCCCTAGGTAAAGAAGGCCACAGGTAGAGGGACCACTGGTGGTGGGGCCACAAATAAAGGGTTTTAAGTAGAGGGGCCACAGGTAGAGAAGGCTATACAGGTGGAGGGGGAACAGGCACAGGAGCCAAGGTAGGGGGATGAAGGTCGAGGCAGCTGCAGGCAACATGCATGCAGGCAGAGAAGCACACGCAGAGGCTTAGAGCTTAGGCACTGTGTGCTGCATGCGTCGCTGTGGGAGTGGGAACAGCTCTGTCTTTGTACTTCACCCCATCCTCTGGCGTCCTGTCTTTGCCAGCCCATCTGGAACCGTGGGAGATTATGCCATTGCACCTGCCCTGTGCTCCTGCTACCCAGCCCTGTGGTATCTCAGACAACCTCTGCCTTGAATCAAGGCTCCTTGTTTTAAGGCAAAACTAGCATGCTGATGTACTGTGCATAGCCAGGGACAGGGGCTCCTCGTCAGGGAGGGGGCCTGGGCACCAGCTCCATGAATATCCCAAAGGGAGCATTTTCCCACTCTAACAGTGAATAGGACACTATCAGTGCCCCCTAGTTCTTTAGTGATGGGATGTCTCTTAAGGGACCCAATAGTAAACTCAAAATATCAGCCTGTCCAGAGCTGTAAGAATTCAGTGTGGAGAGCCATCTCCATATCTGCCCTGGAGTCTTCCTGAAGGCCTGGCCTCCCCTGAGGACGCCCTCCCGCTGGGGGAAGTTGAAGAAGCCAGAAGAGACCAGCCTGGCCTCATGCCAGCCCACACCATAGGCAGGAGGCCCATGGCTCGCTTTCCTCAGCAAAATAAATCCCAAGACTTTCTAAGCCTCTCCAAACGCATGATCGTCTCCCGATTAACACGCCGGCCTGCGTGTTCTTGGCTGCTTGCTGCCGACCTCAATTTAAAACCGTCTGCTGTTCAGCTTCTAGAGAAGGGCCCCAGAGGCAAAGACTATCGGAGCTAGGAGGCCCATGTTGTCGAAGTCATTGGGGGATGGGGTGGTTGCTGACCCTGGCCCAAATCTGAGCAGCATCTTAGAAGCTTGTGGGAGACCCAGTCAGGATGGGTTTCTGCTTTGAGAGTGTTCAGACTGTTTCCTGAGGTGCTTCTGATGAGCTGGGGGATAGGATGGAGTGGCTGCTCTGGAACTGGTCTTGAGATGGGCAGTGAACATGAAGAGGCCACATGTGAGCACCTCTGCATCCTTGGAGAAGTGCTCCCAAGGGAATCGCTTGTTATACCACAGGGAAACTTGACAAGTCCTTTTCAAGCCCTGATTCCAGGAATGGTCCGGCTCTCTGCCTGCTGGCCTGCCTCGCCTCAGGCAGAGCCAGGGGAAGACCTGCTCTCTCTGTCCCCTGCCAGGAAGCGCTCAGGTTTCTGTAGTCTGCTTTCCTGACTCCTTCCTTCCTGGCCTGTAGGAAGGAGCGAGGTTAAGAGCACAGGCTTTGTGGTTCCCAAAGCCCTGGGTGTGTCTGCACTTCACTCCCTACTGAAGGATCTGGAGCTAGTAACTTGGCCACCCTGACCCTCAGAGTCTTCCTCTGTAAAGTAAGGCTCTTGCCTGGTCTCAAGGTGTATCCAGGAGAGATGGAATCTCTGTGCAAAGTTACCCTGTTCACAGTGAACACGCAGGAGGTAAGGTATGGGTCGGGTGAGGAAGCTTTCAGTGACCTGTCACCCCACCCTGTTGCTTCCCCCACAGGAGGGCTGTCCGTGACCCACACTGGTCTTCCCATCGTGGTCTCCCTGGCCAACATACCTGCTTCCTTTAGCTGCAGAGTTAACTACCAGGATATCTCAGAACACAAAGGCTTAACTGTCACTTATTTTTACGTGGATCTCCACGGCACTCATTTCTATGAGAACAGCTCAGCGAAGCTGATTACCTGCCAGCCTGGCGCAGAGAACCAGACCTTGGATTGCCTGGTTAGACCCAGGTTGCCAGATGCATCGGCCACGGGCACGTACTACTGCTCTGTCCATTGGCGGGGCTCCACAGTGCAGGGCAATGGCACCTTCATCCTGGTCAGAGGTGAGTCCTCCTCCTGGATCCTCCCAGGGGAAAGGACCTGCAGGGGTCACCCAACATAGTTTTCTGTGGAGAGCCGTCGGTCTTGTCTTTCAGCTTTACAAAGCAGAATAGAGCGTTCCCAGGGGCCCCTGCCCTGAAGGTATGCCAGGCACCCAACCTTTCTGTGGAAAGAAAAGGGTCCCAGATGTGGATCTGCCGCTAGTCGCCTCTGGCAGGTGACCTGAGAGTGGTTGGTCACTCAGCTCCTTGAACTCAGGGTTCCATCTGTAGTGGGGGTCAGGTGTGTGCATACATGGACTTGTGGGTATCTTGCCTACGTGAGCGTCACATCTTTCTGGAAACAATTCCTAGATGTGAGACATTCTCGAAGGTGGGAGACCCCCAAATTAAGAGCAAGCCATGGTCAAAGTCCTGGGTCTTTTTCTACCTGCCTCTGTAATTCCCACTGGAAGAGGCTGGGAGCTTTGGAACCCTATAGACCTGGGTTTGAATCCTTGCCCTATTGTTTGCCTCGATGTGACCTTGGGCCTAACCTTCATGGCAGTGATCTGTCTATCAAAGCCTTCAGTGAGGATGCATAGGCTACCTGCTGGTGGGAGGCACTTAAATAACTATGGTGGGCCCAGAACTGGGCTGGTCCTCTGGAAGCCAGATGGAGGAAGGGAAGAAGGATGGAGGGATGGATAGAGGGAGGGTTCAGGAGACGGGGAGGACTGGGCCCTTGCGCCTTCTGGCGCACCTTCTTGCCAGTTCAGCATAAGTCTGCGTCTTTCACCCTCACAACACTCACCCATATGATGAGCATTCCACATACAGGAAAGGGAAGCTCCCAAAGATGAACAACTCACCAGGGTCCCCTAGGCAGCCGTCAGTGGTGCAGCTCACTGAGATAGGGACACTAAAGGAACAAATGACCTGGTCCTTGTCCTTAGAGTATCAAGACAGTCAACATACACAGGAGGCTTAGCAAAGCCAGGCCCTGAAGGGGCTCACGAGGGCCTCACAAGGGCCTCACAAGGTCACAGGTTACAGGGAGGCTTGGAAATGTATAAAGGGCAGCATGGGGCTTTGGGGCTTGGGGATGGTGGGCCAGGTGGCCCTAGTTTGTCCTGTGTAACTAACCCTCTGCTCCCTGTCCTCCTCCCAGACACAGGGTATCAGCCACCCCCACTTAACCCCCAGAAGGCCCTCCTCCTTGGCTTTACCGGCCTGCTGAGTGTCCTGAGTGTGCTGGGTACAGCACTGCTGCTCTGGAAGAAGGTATGTATGGGCCACGTGCACACATAACAGGAGACACACGGGACTTTCCCCTCCACCCATGCTATGGACCTGGTTAGGTTTCTAGGAGCAGAGGGGCTGCCACTGCCCTACAGTTGTGTCTCAGGCCCTGGGGAGGACACACCATAAACGCACAGACCCATTTTGATCCTATTGTGAGAAACCAGGCTTTCCAGAGATTTCCAGGACACACATCTCTCTGAGAATCCAGCAAAGACACAGGCCCTCATGCTCACCATTTGCAGCTCCCCAGATAGAGCCCCTACATACATACTAAGCTGCCTACAAGGGGAGACGAGCCTAGACAATGCTGTGTGTCTAGCCTCCCTCACGCACTTCCATGTGTTTCCTTCCACAGCTCTGTGAGGATGTTTCTTCCTGTCTCACAGCTCTAGAGTGAAGCTTAGAGAGATTGTGACTTGCCCATGGTCACACAGCAAGCACAAGGCAGAGTTACGGCTGAGCGCAGATGGAGGGGGCAGTTTGCTCCAGTTTTTTACCCCACTGCCTCCTGCTCATAGCAGTTCCCTGGGGGAGAGACCTCCCCTGGGGCTCCCATCACTCCATCTCTCAACTCTGTCGTCTCTCCTGCCATGCCTGACTGCCTGCTCTTTGCTGCAGCCTCAGCCTCAGGACCCTGCACATAGTAGGTACTCAGTATCTGCTGAAGGGTTTATAATTTGCAGAGTCCTTTCATGGTCATTAGTAAATGGGTGCATTCACTTCTTAAGCAGACATTAGATGAACTTTAGATTGAAGGCTAGGAAACCTGTTTAGAAGACAGGGGTCGGGGCTTGAAAGCACCCTTGGGTCTGGGTTTATATTCTTTTAAAATTACATTAATTATTAATGTGTGTGTGTGTGTGTGTGTGTGTGTGTGTGTGTGTGAGGACAACTTGAGGGAGTCTGTTTTCTCTCTCCACCATGTAAATCCTGGGGATTGAATTCAGGTCATCAGCTGGGCAGCATGTGCCTTTACCTGCTAAGCCATCTCCTGGCCCTAGTTTTATATTGTAACTCTGCCTCTTATAGCTCTGTGAACTTGGACGGGCAATTAACTCCTCTATGCCTCAGTTTCTCCAGTGGAGAATCTAAGCATCATGACTGTGGACGGAAGGAATGGAGGGGTTAGAGAGGTACTTTGAGCACCAGGACAGGTACCCTCCTGAGAAGGTGGTGGTCACAGGAGCAGGTGTGCTAGCTCCCACCTGGCTGGAGGCGTGAAGACAGTCCTGGCAGAGCCTGGGTTCCTTTCTCAGAGCTCTTCTGTGCACCTGGGGTGACCGATCTGTTGCTTGGGTTTGTGCTCCTCATCTATTGATGAGCTGACAGACCCCCTCCCCAAGTGGCCCTCCACCTCATGTGATCTAAGCAGCACTCTTCAAGCCCCTGAACCTTCTACCTCTCAGCACCCAGGGGCTCAGGACCAAAACTTTGGAACTGTGATTGGCTTTTCATATAATCCCTCAGTCTCTCCAGGATCCAGTCCCTTCTGCAGCCCTGGCTTGGGCTCCATTACCCTCTGTAGGCCCCTTGCTTGCCCACCCCCTGGCTTCTGCATTTATGTCATCAGCCCACCAGAGTGCAGCCCCGCTACAGGACAGAGACGTGGTGTCCCTAGGAGCCTGGCACATAGTAGGTGCTGGAGGAAGGAATGATGGGATATGTACACACTGACTTCTGAGAGACGAGTTGGACGGGGCCAGGGCACATGGTGAGCTTATCGCTCCATTTCACAGGGAAGCTGTAGTTCAATAGTCTTCTTGGGTTGCTGTTGGCAGTGTGCAGAGCTAGAGCCCACCCCAGACCTGGGGTTCCCTCACTGCGGCCTGCTGGGGAGAGGATGCTTGGGCAACAGAGAACTGGGCACTGAGAGAGAATCCACAGTGGTTTGTTGATCCATCTGGTAATCACAACTGAAAAGGCAAGTGATGGCTGCTTGGGCCCGAGCCCTGGCATGGACAGGGCTGGTTCCTGGGGACAGAGCATCCCCATACCTCCACAACAAAAGAGCACACCGTGAGTTTTCAAGGGTGCTCCCCTTATCCTTCATAGGAGTCCCTCCTCAGCCCAGGCCTCCTGGTGGGCTGGGTGGGGCTCCTCTCCTGGACATTTTAGCCTCATCCCCAGCTGCCCCACCCTTCATCTGTGGCCACAGAGGTAGCTTGGGAAGCACAGATCTGACCACTTCCTGCCCCAGCAGCTCCCACTGCCCTCCCTCCCACATGCAACAGAGCAAAGAAACCTGTGGGTCGTGACCTTCTGTGGCCTTACCCTTACCCACCTCCTTCCTTCTTCCTTCTTCTCCCTGTCCCCCCCTTCCCCTCTGCTGCACATACCTACCATCTGCAATCCCCTGTAGCCTCAAACTCCTTCCTGAGACCCATAGTACCTCTCAGCTCCCTGAGCTATCGGTGGCAACCCCATCACACCCCAAGATCCCCACTGCCCAGCCAGGTCTGGCATGGGGGAGGGCTGGCACAGTTGCCCACAGGGTCTGACAACAGGACCTGTGTTTTTTCACCTTGTATCCAAATAGCTGACTCAGGTGGCCCCTGAACAGCCACTGCTCATGAGTTCTTGTCCTTCAACCTTGATGGCATCAAGGGCCAGCAGGCTCAGAACAGGAGGTGCCAGGACCCAGCTATCTTAACAAGAGGAGGCACCAAGGTGCCCTGAGTGGTCCTGGTCTCTGACTGTGGCAGTGTCTCCAGAAGCAGTGCAGGAAGGTGATGCCAGATTTGAGGGCTAGGTGTCTGTGCTTCCTCTAAGGAAAGCCATTTAGTAGTTTGGCAGGCCCTAGTTTCCCTCTCTGTTAAATGGGCAAAGTCATGCCCACTCCCTCAGGCTGTTAAGAGAATTAAACGACAATAAGGACAAGTCCCAGGTATCTTTGTAAAGTATACAGGACATAGATGGCAGCACGTCTGTGTCTGTGAGACTGATGCATGCTCACAAAACAGCAACCAAAGCTCCAGGTTGGCATCTTAGTGAACATAGACTTGGGTTCAAATCCCGCCCCTGTCACTTCCTAGCTGTGTGGTCTCAGCAATCCCCCAACTTCTCTGAGCCTGCACTTCATGTGCAGAGCAGAGTTGACATGTGGACTTGTCTGCAGGTTTGTTGAGGCCTGCACGCGACAAGGCACGTCCCCCTGCCTGGCTCCACATTCAGAGTTGTAGGATGCTGACACTGGGGTGGCGCCGGCTTCTGCCTGTGAGTTAAGTAGCTCTCGAGTGCTAATCCAGGAGTAAATGGGCTGGGGACTGGCAGGCAGCCAGGGTTTTTAATTAGCTCCTGCCCCGAGATGAGGCCGTTGTTGCTGTATTGTTGGTAGTGTGCCTGCGATGAGGGGGGCGTCCTGGGGGGCGTCCAGACCACCTCCCTCTGCCCCTCTGACTGTCCCCGGCCCTGTACCTTCCCAGCAGGCCGGCCCAGCCTCCCCGTCTTCCACTCATGATTCGGAACAGCCCTCAGGAGTTTTCCAAAGCTGGCTCGGCCCAGCCACCCCACCTGGAGCCCTCGTGCTTCCTGCTGTCTGTGCTGTTCACGAAGCCCTGCAGGTCGCCCTGTCCATCTGGGCTGTTCGCCTCTTGGGCTGAGCTCTCTGTTTTAATACCCTCAGTCCTGTGGGTCTCGTCATGCCTGCTGTTGCCTCTGCCTGGACCCCTCTTCTCTCCTCCGTGCTGAATGCACGTCTGCCATCATATTTCACCTTTGCATTCGTTCCTGAGTCACTGGTCCCCGTGCGCAGGGAGCTCTCTGTCTGAACTCGGCACACATAAATGTACACAGCAGGTTTTTAAAAAATGTTTTTGTTTTGTTTATATTTTATTTTTTTATTCTATGTGTATGAATGAGTGTATTGCCTGCATATATGTAAGTGCACCCATATCGTGCAATGCCTACAGAGGTCAGAAGAGGGCGTCGGAGCCCCTGGAAGTAGAGCTACAGACAGCTGTCAGTCACCATGTGAGTGCCGCAGACCCAGCCTGCACCCTCTGCCAGAGGAGCCAGTGTTCTTAACCGCTGGGCCATCTCTCCAACCCCACACAGCACGTTTTTTTAAAACCAGTCTCCTACCTCACTGTCCATCTCTCCTCTAGACCCCAAGCTCAAGGAGGCCAGGATGGGGTCCATCTCCCCACATTGTGTATCTAACAGAAGTGCTTAACAAATGAGTGTGGTTGATGGAGAGCTTCCTCAGTGCCATGGTTGTCCCCTCCTTAAATGCTTACAACAGTCTTGCTACATACTGTTGCTCAAGGCATTGAGAACAGAGAGATGTCTTACATAGCCAGTTGGGAGCAGGGTAGAACTGGACAGAACTGACTGGCACCCCCTTGGGGCCTACCCAGGCTGGCTTCAGGTCAAGGCCCTGTCTTCCCCAGAGTCAGGCACTCTGCCATGACAATACCTCATATGGTCTGTGCATTTCCTCTGGCTTCAGAAGGGTGGGTGGGAAGTGTTGCGTGATTAATTTCTGTGTGGCCCCATGACAGTCAGCAATGCTTGCTCTCTGGTGGGCCTGTACGGGGAAGGAGACAGGGAGAGACACTTTTCTTCAACCCCTACAGCCTCTGGCTTTCTTCTCCCCACAGAAACAGATGTCGGTTCCAGGGAAGCAACCCACTGGGACATGCCCAGATCCTAAACCCACCAACAGACCCATGAAGCCTCCGGAAGAATCCATCTACACGGTGAGTCCTAGGACCCGGGCTCCTCCACTTCTCTCAGACCTGACTCAGAGTGTGACGCATACCAGCTGTGGGAAATTTCTGAGCCTCAAGTTCCTTATCTGTAAAACGGACACAACTCCCACCCCGTGAAATTTCTACAAAGGGGAGAGGAGAGGCTTTGTGTGGGGCCCCTGGCAGGCAGATCCTGGTCCCCTTGGCATGTCCCTTCATTTCTAGAACAAGGGGCAGTGAGAGCAAAAGTTGGCAAGGAATGAAGAAACTTCCCTCAACTGACCAAATACAGACCCCTCACCAACTTCTTCCTGTTTTTATTACACAAACGTCAAACCAACAACAACAAAAATCACAGACAGAGGAAAAGGCCAGGCGCCGCCTGGCACTCTTGACACAAGAGTTTTCAATTGTACACTCACTCTGGTCCCCACCACATGTAAGGGCTGTTTGATATCCTTTCGGTCACAGCAAGCCTGGGGCCGGGACTTCATGTGCCCTACACCCTGCTGTGTTGCAAGTGTTTTTCCCCACGGTCTTCATAGTTACATGGAGAGGGACTGGGAGGCTGTGCCCGCCTGGCCAGCACACAGACCCCCTGCCTGGGAAAGAAACGCTCTTTGCCAGTTATGTTGCTTCTGCTTTGAGGGTAATGTATACCAGAGGCTATGCCGCCCACAGTCAGCTGGGTCTCAGTCCCCTGAGATTCAGAGCCATCAGGAGGGGCTCTTGACTCCACACCTGGCCTCCGGGGTCTCCAACTGCATGTTCTAGGCTGCCTCGACTTGCACGTGCTTGCACTGTCTCTGTCCTCATCACCGTGATGCACATGTGAAATTCAGCTGCTTCCTCCAATGCCGCAAAACCCCACACACAGCGTGTTCAGAATTAGGCCACGTTCGCTGAGGGTGGGGTGAGTGGCGGTGAGACCAAGGGGATGTTCCCATGGGTGTAGCGTCCACAGTTCTAAGAACACGGCTGTTCTCAGAGGGCCCTCAATTTCTCCTCTCCAGGGACTTTCCACCAGCTGCTATAGCGTATGCCGCCCCAGACTTCCCCAAATTCATTCTTCTTTCCCAGAAACTCATGCTATTTTCCCTACGAGAAATTATGGTGTCAACTGCTACATGAAAACCTCTCTCTCTCTCTCTCTCTCTCTCTCTCTCTCATACACACATTCCAACTTATATACAACATACATATGTAGGAATTTATACATGAAGAAAATAACCAGCATCCTTATTCTGTCTTCTTCCAGATAAATACTAGTAACAGTGACATCTGTATTTTCCATTATTTTTTCTAAAATATATAGAAATAGACCTAGGGCTGGTGAGATAGCTCAGTGGGTATACAGGCTCTTGCTGCCAAGCCTGACAACCTGAGCTTGGTCATGGTGAAAGGAGAGAACTGATTCACACAAGTTCTCCTCTGACCTTCACACATGCACAGGAGCACATGCACGTACACACACAAAATAAATGACTGTGATTATAAAAAGGAGAGACCCCCTCCAAGACCCATATACACCTCTCTCTCTCTCTCTCTCTCTCTCTCTTTCTCTCTGGTTGTGCAAGCACGCATGCACGTGTGCACATGCATGCTGGGAATAAAACTTAAGGTCTTGTATATGCTAGGCAAATGCAGCCTCATTATAAATGTTTCTTTTGGGTTTTTAAATTTTTAAACAAGATCTGTAGCCCAGGCTAACCTTGAACTCCTAATCCTCTTGTATCCACTGAGTGCTGGGATTAGAGGGATGACCCACCATGGCCATCTATACTTTAAAAACAAAGAACAACAACAAAACCAAAATCGAAGTTGCACAATATTTTTTTTCGTGTTCCAATGTCGCCTGGACATTTCCCCACATGGATAAGTATCCATCTAAGAGATTGATTTTCTTTTTCCTTTATGGAGGAGGCTCACCTCTGCTGGATCATCTTTCTTGCCTGTGTGCAGCATCCTCTGGATTCAGGCTAGCTTCTCCAGAATGTGGTGGAGGTCCACCTCCATGCAGAGTCATAGGGAAGCTTGGAGAGGTTTTACAGCCAGAAAGGAGGTGTGGAAGGAGATGGATCATATGATTTCCTTTGAGACAAGAGTCCACCAGTTAGGACTGGACCTGGGCAGAGGAAACTGGCATTAGCAGCAATAATGCTGTTGGGAGCCATTGTTGTGCCCCTACTATGTGCTTGGTAGGGTTTTAGGCCTATATGCTGCTAGTCGTTCTGACAAGGCATTAAGGTACAGATGTTGCCACCCCCCCATTTTCTAATAACCTTTTCCTGGTTGTGGAAAAGTGTACATTTGTGTGATATAAAGAAACCTTGCTGAATTCTCTCATTAATTCTGATAGTCTCTCTGTAAATTCCTTTGAACTTGAGGGAAGGGTTTTAGGTTCTTTTTTCTTCTGTTTTCTTTGAGTGAATACTTAGATCGTTTCCTGTCCTTCATCTTTTCCTTAAAGTTTTTAATTTTAATTTTTGTTATTTGTTTATTTTGTGTGTGTATGCGTGTGCACATAGGTCATAAGGCAACTTGCAGGAATTGGTTCTCTCTTTCCGCCCTGTGGGAGGACCTGGGAATTGAACCCGGGTCTTCAGCCTTGGTCTGCTGAGCTGGCTCGCCAGCCTAGCCTTCACATTTGTTAATTTAAGCAAAAATTTATGACTTTTCCTTAAGCATGACTCTAGCTGCATCCCTTAAGGTGTGTGTGTGTGTGTGTGTGTGTGTGTGTGTGTGTGTGTGTTTGCTTGGGACTCAAACCCAGGTCTTGCACATGCAAGGCAAACACACCAGTAAACTCTATCCCTCTACACCAAGTTCCCATAAGATTTTTTTTTTCATCTTTTGAGCTAGCTGTGTAGCCCAGGCTGGCCTTGAACTCATGATCTTCCTGCCTCCGCCTCCTAAGATCTAGAATTGCAGGCATATGCAGCCATGCCAAATGTCCCCCTAAGATTTTTAATATGTTGTATTTTCATTATCTTTCAGTCTAAATTTTCCACAGATAATTCTTACTTGTCCCACTAGGTTTTTTTGTTTTATTTATTTATTTTTATTTTATTTATTTATTTAATTTTGGTCTTTTATTTTCAAAATTTTTTTAGAAGCATTTCATTACAGCTTTAACATATTCAGTAACACATTCCAGAGCAAGGATACATCTCTTTCAAAAGTGGCTGTAAATTTTTAGGTTCACAGTTGAATGAATACAGTTATACAATATTGAACTCAGTATCAACCCTGTAAGATATAAAATTGAATGTGTTTTTACCCTGTAAATAAGATCTCCATTTCAAGATATGCTGTTTCCTACATTTTTTAATATTATTCTTTAGTTTTTTTTAGAAGAAGCATATCATTACAGCCTTAACATGCCCAATAACAGTTTCCAGAGCAAAGACAAAGCTCCTACAAAAGTGCCTATAAAATTTCTAGGTTCGCTGTTGAATCAATAGTTTTACAATATTGAACTCAGTATAAGCCCTGTAAAACATAAAATTTAATGAGTATTTAACCCTCAAAAAAGATGTCCATTTCATTCTAAAATATACTGTTTCTTACAGACTCACTGTTTTTGCTACTAATGCTGAGACGTTGGCTCATGCATCTCTAATCTGTATGTATCTAATTATTACTAAAATGGGCGATATGAAGGGGAAGTAGAGGCAGGGGAATGGGGAGAGCCCTGAGAAATGTGGACAAATAAAAAGAATATATATATATATATATATATATAGTTGCATAATTTAAAAATTATTTTATTTCTGAGAGGTTAGTGTGTGCATGCCACGGCATGAGCTTCTAGAGGTCAGAGGACAACTTGTAGGAGACAGTTCTCTCCTTCTACCATGTGAGTTCCAGGGACTGAACTCAGATCCTCGGGCTTGGCTGAAGGCACCTTTGCCTGCTGACCCATCTAGACTGCCCCTTGCTTAGTTAGTTAGTTAGTTAGTTAGTTGGTTGGTAGGTAGGTAGGTAGGTAGGTAGTTGTTAGTTTGCTTTGGGGACAGGGTCTCCCTGTATCCACAGCTGGCCTGGAATTCACTATGTAGACCAGGCTGGCCTCTAACTCACAGAGCTCTGCCTGCTTCTGCCTCCTGAGTGCTGGGATTAAAGGTGTGCACCACGATGCCTGGCGTTACCTTGCTTACGTTTTTTTTTTTTTTTCTTGCTTACCTTTTTATATTTAATTATTTTATAATGTTCTTATCTCTGGCTAACTCTGTTATTCAGATGCATATACATAAATTCTGATTTTAATACTTTTAAATATTTTTAAAGATTTTCTTATTTGTTTTATGTGTGTGTGTGTGACTTGGTAGATGTATACGCCCCGACGTGCATGCAGATGCCTGAGGAGGTCAGAAGAGTCAGATCTCCAGGACTTAGAGTCACAGACAGTTGTGAGCTGCCTGATGTGGGTGCTGGGAACTAAACTCAGATCCTTTGCAAGAGCTCCTCTGAGTGAGCTCTCCAGGCCCTACTTTGAAATCTTTTGAGGCTTGCTTTATGACTCAACTCTGCACACTTTGAAAAAAACACTGTTCTTTGCTTATGGTTGAATGAGTGTTCTGTACACATCAGCACGGAACATATCATGTGCGTTGATCATGTTGCTAAAATAGTCCATATCCCTATTGATCCCTATTGATTTTTGCTGTTCTATCGGTTGTTAAGAGAAGTGAGTTATCTGCAGTGTGATTGTGGGGTTATATCTCTCTCCGTTTTGCTTTCTTTCATCTGAAAAGCTGTTCATGTGTTATGACATAGAAAAGCTATAGTGCTCTGATTTGCTTTCAAGAACTTGACCTAGTAAGAGCGTGTATTTACAGCAGTCAGGCAGATGGGAGCAAAGCTTGTTTTTGTTTGTTTTGTTTTAGACAGGGCCTTGCTCTGTTCACTTAGGCTGGTCTGGGCCTTGCTGTTCCTCCTGCCTCAGCTTCCCCAGCAGTGAGATGACGAGTGTGCGCTGTCACATGAGTAGAGCTTGGCTCTTTTCT